GCTAGACCTGGGGTCGGTGGCAAGACGGAATGACGAGTTCATCGGATATAAAATGCGTGTAAATGGCTATAAATTGAAGCGGATTATGAGAGCTGACTGTAGGGATGGGACCATCTCCCGAAAAATTATTGCTTAGCAACTCCGAGGAAGCTGCGGCATCTCTGCTCCATTTTTAAGTCAATTTTTTGCCTGCCGGTCAGTGTCTGTTGTCTCTAAAGTTTAGCCAGCAATGTGGGGAGAATCTCTTAGGGGGGCGGGGGGGGGGGGTATATGCTTTCGTTATCCTCTAAGGCAAGAAGTGGGTTCGCACACCACGGTGATACCAGGTCTCCAATATGCCCATGATGAAACAAAAAAGACTTTTGAGCAAAATTATAACGGACAGAGCAAACCAACCACAAAAAGATATCACATAAGTTATGCGGTTCGGTAACATATCTCAAGGGCTATTTTTTGTTGCAGGGAATGTTCCATATCTGAATATATTGAAGCAAGCATCAGACATGATGAAATAAGCTCACTTATAGCTCTTGGTATACTTTTAGTTGGAAAAGACTGCTCTAGACTACACTATTTCCCTGTTTAGTAAACATCTTCTGTAAAGCGTTATTGTTTGATTAGGCCATCGCACTTTGCACTTTATTGAATGAGAGCCATTTGACGACGGTTATATCTGGAAATCATGTTCACGAACGCCAGATATGAACGACTCTATCATGGCCTTGATCACCGGATGGATAATGGAAGAGCAGGCTTTGAATGGCATTATTACGGCGTCATGAATACCTGAGTGGTCTTGCAACAGTCTCCTTGAGATAGTCGACACATCTCTGCGGATGTGTAGCTCAATAACTTTTGAAGGGTTTTAGGTCTTAAAAAGGAGGTGGCCGTGAGGTGCATCGAATGATCCTCAATATAGTTATTTTAATTAAAACCCTTCGCAACTGTGGAGCATTCCCCTTAAGCTCGATCCCACTAACATGGAGTGCCATAAATAAGCATAATTTGGCTTCCATGAAACGTTTTTCCATTCGGGCACTGAGGACCTTTACTGGGCAGCTCAATGTTGCATGATTGTCTGAACAAAATACAACTCCACCGTCAGTAAAAGTTGTCCATGACACAAGTTATGAGCATGGGCGCTGCATGACCTACAGCAGTCGATGCGCCCTAAAACCCCAAATCATCATCATCATCATCATCACACAAGTCATGAGCCTTATAGAGCCTTTCAGAACTTTTTGAGGTAGGCAGTTTCAAGGACTCTCAGGCTGTAACATTATAACAGTTTTCAACTCATCAAGGCACAAAGGATGAAGTTCAGGTTTAAGTTTACTCGTGTGTGCTTGGAAAGTGCCGGTGTCTTTCCATCCATTCTTGATCTATTTTCTCACGCGAATACAAAGATCCACTAAACGGTAGACTCTACTGTACAACATTAACCAAACACGAAACCCAACGGCCGGCTTATATATTTAAAACGGTCTTGAGGGCTAATGTCAGCAGACAGACACCTAATCAAGCCATCGAGTTTTTTCTGCTCGCCATAATTCACAGTAATCATACCGGCGCGTGGGGGAATCATGCCAGCAGCCAGCCGCACACTGCAGGAGCCCAGCACGCAGTGTTCTGCACGCAACACGCGCCCCACCCCGGCCACGTGCCGTCACGCGTCTCACGAAGGGCGGCACGCGGTGCGCGTGCCCACTGCTCTCAGGCCTGCCTGATCTGCTGGTCAGCAGGGATCAGTTAGCTTCAGAATGCAACCTCATTCGCCACGGGGCCGTGAATACCTTTTTCAGTTATTTGAGTTGTCACTTGCTATTTTGGTGTTTGATCGTTTCGTTTTTTTGCGTGGTGCACACCAAAGCGTTGGATTCTTCTACTTTAAGTTTGGGAGTGAGGATCACGCATCCATTCGCCATGCATTTTCGATTAGGAATGAGTATTCAGCGACCTGTGGCATATCCACATTAGAATAACATTAGCAATGTCGCTCGGCAGGCTCTGGGCAAGCTACTGAAGTCGTCATATTTCGACGCAGAAAGCATTGTCTCAAGCAAGTTTGTCTCGACGCAGATTATGAGAGTGGAACGTGCAACACGCCGGAGCTGGTTAATGTAGTTGTAGCTTCCAATGGAGTTGTAGTTAAACGCGTCAATCTGTAGGGACTTGGATTGGTATGCACTTTATGTCGCAAGTGATTGGTAAACACCATGTATCACAAACTGTTGGTAAGTAGCATAAATCGAACAAATTGGTATTACATTTCGCAAGGATTTAACTGCTCGAAGTTTTGTTTCATCCAAAAGGTGAATTGGGTACTTTTTTGTCAGCCTGCACGTGAATTCAAACTTCCAACTTGATGAGGCACTTTCACCTGTTTTTAACGAAGCAGCGATGATAAATCTAAATCCCAAGTTGGTTTGTGATAACGCTAGTTAAACCACTCGATAAAGCTCGAAAAACCACCGGGTAATGACGTTGCATCGTTTTACGCTGCACATATTTACTTAAACAGGAACTTCGAAGGAGAACCCGTGCCGAACAAAGAACTTGGCCAGAAATGGTCACAAATGAGCTGAACGATTCCAAGATAACTTGTGATAAGCTTGCTCAAATGAGCCCTTGCATAGAGTCACTGCAATCAATAATGTTGTTTTGATGATAAGGCCAGACCCGGGTTGTTCCTACGCACGGGATCGCACCGAGGCGGATTGGACCATCTAACTGAGCGTCGGCGGATTCAGTGTGACAGACTTGGTCGGGCCTAGGAGCATGTCGGTGCCGTCCAGCCTACAGACAGGGCTTCATCCCTGGAGCGGTCAGGGATGACCTCGGTGAGCCAAGGTAGGGTCAGCTGCTTTGAAAATGGCTATGTTGGGTCAGAGTTAAGCCAGCCTACTGCATTCAATAATCTGTTTTTAGATTTCAGCATTAGAGCAGTACATGGTGTTGTTCTGACGAACGGCAAATGAACAATATTTGTGTTTTCTTAAATTGTAAAAATGCATCGAAAGTACCGGCGTTTACAGCTCATGGAGTCAATATGCTGCCGACCCGGCTGTCACCGGAGCCGGACAACACATCCCAGTCATAATGCGACCGATCAGAGTCGGGCTGATAATGACGCGGCCATCCCCATACTCAGCATTAGCTGCGAGTCTTCCAGCTTTTAGATCGCTGACCATACTCACGTACTGTCGCCAATGCCTTTTGTCCGTTTTAATGCTGGTTTCCAGACTCGTGCTCAGACTACAGAGTTCAGTCCACCCCGGGATCGCAGTATCGCTGCCGATGTGAACATTGACATAACGTGCAGGCTGCTTACACAATCACACAGTCTCTGGTAAGCTCATCTTCTAGCGTTCCTCATTTGATTCGCAGCGCTCATTCGCCGCTGGAATTCCTGGCGTGTCATTTGGACGAGGAGCCACCACATAGCGTGCAGCCAGCGGACGAGAAAGCCGACGGTCTGCAGGCCCGTCTGGTCACGTGCTGCCACTCGGCGGCTGAGTCATGCCGCCGGTGATGAGTCACGCCTCGACGCCGGCCAGCCATGCCGCCGAGCCGACGGGTCATGCCCCAATGCCGATGCCCTCGTGAAGCCGATACGACGCGTGGTGGGGAGGGCTAGCGCAGAGCAAGTCGGATGAAAAATCCAAATGGAAAAAGCAAACGAAAATAGTCGAGCAAAAATAGTGGAAAGTTTCAAAGTGGGGAGGGATGAAAGGAAAAATTGGTAAAAGTCCAAGGGCAAGCAGTCAAAAAAGTCGGCAGGAATAACAGTAATATCGCGGTAATGAGCAAAGTCGAAGGACAAAGAGCCAACAGAAATAAAATTCGGGTCAGAAAGGTCCAACAGCAAGCAGAAAAAATATGCAGGGCCAAGGGCGCCGCAGCATAGGGGCCAGAGGGAGCATTTGCACTCTCTCTGCCGGCAGACAATGTGGGGGGCAAAAGTATGTTCTACCCACACACACAAAATCTGGGAACCCTCTTTTTCCCACAGCGTTGTATTTTGCCCTTAAGTACAGAATTTCCTAAAACATTGCAGCTTCCTATGGCATAACAAAGTGCAGAGCAAAGGGCCCCATAACTGAGCAAGGGAGAAATTCATCGAGCTCATAGGACCCTTTAATACACGATGAGATCCCTTTTCTGGATAATAAGGTCCCTTTTCTGAATAAGAGCAGATGGCCGCGGTTCTGGATCACAGTGCACTGTCTTGGGATAGCGAGACCCACGGCTAGGTTTGGAGGCTCCCTTCGTGAATCGCAAGCATCCTGTTCTGGATTACGAGATCCCTCTATGCATTTGGAGGCCCTTTGAAGGGATATGAGGCCCTGTTTTATGTTAGTGAGACACCGCTGGATAATAAGAGGGCCCCATTCTGGATGTTTTAACTGCTAACACTTATGTACTTGGATGTGATGTATGCAGCCGTTTGGTAAGGGGGCGCATGCTCTCGGTACCCCTTCCCCTTGAATATCACACTGTGCAGGAGGCCCCTGTGAGGAGACCCCATTTGTCCAGGAGGCCCCTGGAAAATTGTGCCTCCATCTCAAAATCCGTAGCGCGGTCCCTGTGCGGGGCTATGGGTAGAATCGGGAAAAATCGAAGTACAAAGGGTCAGTGGGAATAAAAGTCGACAAGGATTGAAGCAGCTGAAGAAAAACTTTGAATATGAAAGCATCCGAAGAACACAAAAACAGAGGCAAAAGTCGATAGCGATAGATGTTGAATCGAGAAAAAGTCTACAACCAAAAAAACTGACACGGATAACAGCCGAAGGACAAAAGTCAGAAGAGGTTAAGTCGGCAGCGATTATGCAGATTTGATTAAACAGTTGACAGCGATTATGAAATCATCTGAATCGTCGTCCATACTTGTAATAATCATCATCATAATCGTCGTCCATCCTTGTGGTTCAACCACAACAACCGCCGGTGTAACCACCGAACACAGCGGTTACACCAGCGGAAACGAGGAAGAGCGGCGAAGACCTTCGCAATGTATTCAAGACGTAATCTCAAGAGACAAGGAATGAGTGACGCGTTCCACTTGGCTTTGCTTGAAGCTGAGCACGTCTGTCCGGTCTACCAATGCAGAAAACCGAGCACGTCTGTTCGGTCTACCAATACAGAAAACCATCAGGGGGCGCGGCGGTGCTCACACCACACGGACCCACGACACGTGATCGTCAGGCCAGACGTGCTGGGCACGGCATCATTTCACAGGCAGTTAGTGGTTCCCCAGCCACTCCCCTCTGAGGTCTGGCAAGGCTCTCGGTCGGAGATCGCGGCTTCACACACAGGCTTCGACACGAAAGGCTGTAAAAACATTGTCAGTAAGCTGGACTGATTATCGAGGATCACAGACCGGCAAGGTCGGGGACAACCGAAAAGCAATCGAGCACGCATGCGCACAAGCCGTAGGTTGAGGGAAGAGAGAGGCGAGGGGCGACTAGTACTCCTCACCCTCTCCCTCCCCTTCCACCGAGTCGACTCCCACCTCCTCATAGTCCTTCTCCAGGGCGGCCAGATCCTCGCGCGCCTCGGAGAACTCGCCCTCCTCCATGCCCTCGCCGACGTACCAGTGCACAAAGGCGCGCTTGGCGTACATCAGGTCGAACTTGTGGTCGAGTCTGGCCCAGGCCTCGGCGATGGCGGTGGTGTTGGAGAGCATGCAGACGGCGCGCTGCACCTTGGCCAGGTCGCCGCCGGGCACCACTGTCGGCGGCTGGTAGTTGATGCCCACCTTGAAGCCGGTCGGACACCAGTCGACGAACTGGATGCTGCGCTTGGTCTTGATGGCGGCGATGGCGGCGTTGACATCCTTGGGCACGACGTCGCCGCGGTACAGCATGCAGCAGGCCATGTATTTGCCGTGGCGCGGGTCACACTTGACCATCTGGTTGGCCGGCTCGAAGCAGGCGTTGGTGATCTCGCTCACAGACAGCTGCTCATGGTAGGCCTTCTCGGCCGAGATGACCGGCGCGTAGGTGGCCAGCGGAAAGTGGATGCGCGGGTACGGCACCAGGTTCGTCTGGAACTCGGTCAGGTCGACGTTGAGGGCGCCGTCGAAGCGGAGCGAGGCGGTGATGGAGGAGACGATCTGGCCGATCAGCCGGTTCAGATTGGTGTAGGTCGGACGCTCGATGTCCAGGTTGCGGCGGCAGATGTCGTAGATGGCCTCGTTGTCGACCATGAAGGCGCAGTCCGAGTGCTCCAGCGTGGTGTGCGTGGTCAGGATGGAGTTGTAGGGCTCGACCACGGCCGTGGCCACCTGCGGCGCCGGGTAGATGGCGAACTCGAGCTTCGACTTCTTGCCGTAGTCGACGCTGAGCCGCTCCATCAGCAGCGAGGTGAAGCCGGAGCCGGTGCCGCCGCCGAACGAGTGGAAAATCAGGAACCCCTGTAGACCTGAAACAATTCGTCAGGTCATCTGCACATCTTTCGTGAAAAGTTCTGCCGTTGTGGTTCTCAGATAGCGGAACAATGAGCTGTTGCAAAAATAGCCTTGAAAAACTTACAGGACATGCGCCGCACAATGGGTGGACGTTAACTACAGGCCCTCACGGGCTGAATAAAGCCACGCCTATTCATAGACAATGGACAATGGGCTGGGTTCGTTAGCGACCTAAAGAAAATAGCTCTGATGGTACAGGTGTTTGAAGACACTTAAAAACATGTCAAGCACATGCTCCTGAAATGTTACAACAAATCATTGATCGTGCTTGATTTCGTCATAGTACCTGACTTGATATCCCATTTGACACAACCAAGGCAAAACCATCCAAGTTAGCTGTAATTCGCTTAGGATGTTTTCTTTCATAATTCAGAGGTCATGCGTCGCAAATGTCAGCCGATGAGTAAGAGGTGGGTGGGTGGATACTGATTAGAAATGGTGGCGAGCACCTCCCCGTGAAGTAAATCCCACTTTAATGCCAATGGTGACTCAGCGGAGATGAGTTCGGTCATCGATACGGACGTTGTCATGATCAGTGGATTACATCACCACTGCCACCACCATCACCACCACCGTCATCATCATCATCATCATCGTCGTCATCATCATCATCATCAGCATCAACAACAACAACATTACCACCACCACCACCACCACCATCATCATCATCATCAGCAGCATCACCATCACCACCACCACTACCAACACGAGCGCCAGAAGAAGCATTAAGATGATATCCACGACTACCCGAAAGCGACCCGATAGTCCTTGATTCTCTTGAGCGCCCTCGCCGACACGCGCAGAACACGAGACCTCTGCCGAATCGAGCTGCCTCACCCGTGCACTGGTCCGCCAGCTTCCTGATCCGGTCGAGCACGATGTCCACGATCTCCTTGCCGATGGTGTAGTGACCTCGCGCATAGTTGTTGGCCGCGTCTTCCTTGCCCGTGATGAGCTGTTCTGGGTGGAAGAGCTGGCGGTAGGTTCCCGTTCTGACCTCGTCTGAGGAGCAAGGTGGTCAGCCGGTTAAGTGGTGGCGTTGCAGGCATAAATACTCGGTATATCTTGGGTGCCTTGAGTGACTAGCATTATGCATTTGTAGTAACCTGTTCGCATGCCTCGGAAGAACTTAATTATAAAGTGCGATGGTTTGTATCACACCACAACACCGCTCCTCGCGCCCGGTTTCGGCGGCAACCGACGTGGCTATATGGTGGCATTGAAGCGGGTGAACGAGAAAGCTTTACGTGATCGATCGCAGCACCAGACTTGTGACGGGTGAATTACGGTGGAAAAGTATTGTTCCGGCTGGCGTGCCATCCCACAGATTCAGTGTGACCTGCGCTCTGCGCCTGGCTGGGGGGTCGGTCTGTAACCCCCCACAGGCTGGAACGCGCACCGGCCGCCTCGTCGTCACAGTCTGACGGCGGTGCATCGACCAAACACCGCCACGGCGTCTGAACCGTGCAGCGGGACCCGGAGCCCGATGACGGACGGGGTGGCCGGCCGCGGGCGTCTCGCTCTGCTGACCGTGGCGGACCGGGCCTGCGGCGACATCACCGCGCCGCCGCGGCCAGCCTGAACAGGCGCGCTCGCCGCCGCCGCCCGCCAAGGCCAGACGTGGGGCGGTCGCCGACGGCGGAGCGGTGACGTGGCAATGCGTCGCACTGACACGGGGCAGGACGTGGCAATGCGTCGTACTGTATGGAGGCAAGAGCATGCAGGCTTTTGGTTTCCGGCAGGTCAGCCCCGCACATGTTACGAGCCCGGAAAAGGATGCGTGTCCGCCCAGCCGAGACTCTGTTTTAGTTGTTCCCGGTCCCGATCGCGAGCGCTCTGCATGCCTTCCGCCACAGGTCGCGACGTACCCCACACCCTCCTCGACCTCTCACGTACCGACCACGCTGGGCTCCAGGTCGACGAACACGGCGCGCGGCACGTGCTTGCCAGCGCCCGTCTCGGCGAAGAAGGTGTTGAAGCTGTCGTCGCCGCCGCCGATGGTCTTGTCCGAGGGCATCTGGCCGTCCGGCTGGATGCCATGCTCCAGACAGTAGAGCTCCCAGCAGGCGTTGCCCATCTGGCAACCCGCCTGCCCCAGGTGGATCGAGATGCACTCGCGCTGCCGGCAGGGTTGCCAGGTTAGGTCCCGTTTGTACGCAGAAAGCAGCAGACAAAGGGTTGAAAGACGGTGAAACCCACACCCTCAAAAAGACAGTTCCGAATTCGAAATTGTCGACATTCCGAACGAATCAGCTTTCGTGCATAAAATTATTATCGTGGCCTGTCACAAAGCGGTCCGATTTATGAGGTAACATTCTCGGTTTTGTGGACAAATAGCGCTGCAGGATCTGTATCGTACCACGTAACGCCACGACAGCGCCACCGGAGGTAAACCTTTCGTTAATAGTCTGAGAAATATGACGCTTTAAGTAAAATATGACGTTAAATATGGCGCTTTATGTGGGAATCCAGACTATTCGGACCCATCCGGCCTCGGAAACACAGCATGTCCCACTCGCTTTGGGACGAGACCACGGGTAGGCCTTTTGTACTAACTTGACAGCACTGTCACCGTTTTGGGAAAAAGTACGGTGTTGCTGAGAACAAACTTGTGTTCAGTAATGTCTTTGAGTTAGCTGTCTAATAAGCATAAATACGTGAAGTTACCGGCAGTGAGACGGGAGCTCTAAAAACACTGAGGGGAATGGTACGCGGTTTGATCCAGTTATCGTCAAGGAGTTCCGACAAAACAATATCAAATATTGTCAAACTTGAGTATGCCTGCCCTCTCCCTTCCCGCATTCTTGCGCGGTAATATTTGATCAATGCTTCTGTTGACTAAGTGTTGGTGTTGTTGTCAACACCACACCAGCACCGGTGTGACGCTGTGCCTTGGTCAGGTCTGTGCGCTGGGGCCCGGCCCCGCGCGGGCCGGTATTGACCCCTCGCTGGTTGATCAATGTCGCCAGGAGTTAGGCGGTCGTCCGGCCTGCCGCGTGTGTGGCGGCCGCCGCGCGACAACCTCGACCTCTAACGACATGTTTGCACCTCCGGTGGCGTGCCCGCAGACGTTAGACTGAGGCCACGCTGTGCCTGGGGAACTCGACAGAAGCGCACGGCAGGAACACCTCTGGACAGCACAGGTCACGACAGAGACAGCTCTGGACAGTACAGGTCACGACAGGGGCAGCTCTGGAGAGCACAGGTCACGACAGGGGAAGCTCTGGAGAGCACAGGTCACGACATGATTAGATCCGGAGAGCACAGGTCACGACAGGATCAGATCCGGGCCTCGTCGCCGGGTGGCCAGGAGCCGTCGCCCGGAGGCAAGCACGCCAAGTCTGTCCCCCTGAGCGGAAAATGGATACAGACAGAAAACCGGAGGAGAGGTGGCGCGTTCTGCGCACTTATGCGTCCAAATGCAATAGTAATTCAGTTCAGACAGGTTTGAGTTGAATGACAGCTTTTCGGAACTGCTGTCATGCGCAGCCAGAATCGGGACCAGCGGGCGCCACGCGTTTCATGGCGCGGTGCCGCTGCCCGCCGCGCGCCGGCCTGATTAGGATCCGGAGCAACCCCAACCGCCTACCGGACACCTGGCCGGCGGGCGGTCAGCTGTTCAGCCGCCCAGCTGCCCGGCCGGCGGGCGGCGGGCGGCGGAAGTCACGTGGTATCGGCGTGAGCGGGGACCGCCGCGCGCCGCCGACGCCAACCCGGGAGAACAGATGGGCGGCGGCGGCGGGAGGTGAGACCGGGGTCACAGGCTGCCCCGAGAGCGAGATGGCCGCGTCGATTGTGGACATCGGCGCCTTGCTGCAGAAGTGAGCGCCGTGCGTGGCAAACTGGTGTAATGCATGCCCTGTGGGTTGATAAATGGATGGAAAGGGAAGAGAGCTCTTTGAATGATGCAGGCAACGGCAGAGGGTCAGAAACAAAGACAGCCAGACAGAGAGACAGAGAGACGGAGAGACAGAGCGACAGGGAGACAGACGAACAGACAGGCAGGCAGACGGGCAGGCAAACAGGCAGACGGACAGAGATCGTGTATTTGAACTTGCAGATTCGTCGTAGCATACACGATCAAATCGCAGCTATATCCAGTTTTGCCAACCTCATCCCCGTAGCTACTCTCTGCGTAACGCAAGTTATTTGTTGCCTTTGTCAAGGCGGCCGACAGCAGCAGACCCAACTTACGTTTCAGTCACCCGAGCCTGCCATAATTCCAGATTGCGCGGGAAAATGTGGATTCGCTACGATTTTGATCATTGCGATCATTGAACAGCTGAATACCGCTGCCACCGGACGAGATTCGGCTGATATTGAACACCAGATGGCCAGCAGGCGGCCACCTGCGGAGTTCTGAACCAGAGAGACATAACATTCCACAGGCATTGCAGGATCATTCTCGCGCCCGTACGCCCGGGATGTGTCTCGTCACCATGGAAACGCAGCGGTTGCCACCAACACATCCCGCAGCGGTCGATAGTGCGCCCGTTGGACAGCCGAAGATTACCGACATTGAACCCCCACGTGGCTGGGTGGGGCGGCGCTCCCCAGCCACGAGCCGGCCGTGCGGCTTCGTGAGACGACAGCCAGCTAACGGCGGCTTTCCAAAGGGCGAGTGCGCGACTGTTGCAAACGTATGAATTCTATGTATGTGATGGGATTGGTCTCATGACCACTGCCTGCTTTGGTATTTTTAATTTATTTCGTATTTTCAGTTGGCCCTTCCGGGTGCAGCTCCTGTTCAGTGACCGAGCGAAGAGCACGGCTCCGCGGCATACGCGGGCTTTAACGAAGAAGGGGTAGGTAAGTCCAGATGCGGCCGCTGGCATTGCGACAGGTCGCTGGAGTCCGCATGAATTTCGGTAAGGTGACACGCGATGCAGACATTCTCCTGTAACCTGCTCACATCCTAATCCTGTCCAGAAAGCTCGTCGGGCCAGTCTGTCACCTGGCAACGGTCCCTGTCACAGGGGGCCTTAAGTTTGCACTAAAACGGGAACCCTTACCACGCTCAAATCTACTGGAATTCTGCCCGAAGCTTTGTAACCCCTTTAACCACGTAACAGTACACAACAGCGATGTTTCGAGCGAAAGAGCTGATAAATTAGATAGCAATCACTGCTGTCTGACCACCGGAGCTCATCACTTCCTGCTCCCTTGGCAAGGACCAGCAGCGATGCATGTGCGCGCCAGGGTTTGTTGGCGGCTGCCGTGGGCGGACGGCCAGGCCCACGGACCCGCACTCAAGCCTGCAACATTGCCGGGAGACTGGCGCAGCAGCTTCACACGGCGGCGGCCGCAGGCGGCACAGCTTCCGGTGCCGAGCCGCTGAGGAGCGACGGCCACACGGCCGACACCATTACCGCGGGACGGCCATTACCGCGGGACACACATTACCGCGGGACGCCCATTACCGCGGGACGGCCGTTACCGCGGTACACCCATTACCGCGGGACGGCCATTACCGCGGGACGCCCATTACCGCGGGACGCCCATTACCGCGGGACGCCCATTACCGCGGGACGGCCGTTACCGCGGGACGGCCGTTACCGCGGGACGGCCGTTACCGCGGGACGCCCATTACCGCGGGACGGCCGTTACCGCGGGACGCCCATTACTGCGGGACAGGCGTTACTACCGCCGTGCACCGGAAACGCAACGGGACTGTGCGCGGAGACCGCGGCGGGACGGAGACACGGGGACTGCAGGAGAGGGGGAGACGGGGACCGGGGCAGGGCGGAGACCGCGGCGGGACGGAGACACGGGGACTGCAGGAGAGGGGGAGACGGGGACCGGGGCGGGGCGGAGACAGTGGCGGGACGGAGACGCAGGGACCGCAGGCGCGAGGGAGACGACGGGGGGGGGGGCGGGGCGGAGACAGTGGCAGGACGGAGACGCAGGGACCGCAGGCGCGAGGGAGACGACGGGGGGGGGGGGCGGAGACAGTGGCGGGACGGAGACGGAGGGACCGAAGGCACGAGGGAGACGACGAGGGGGGGGGGGGTGGGACGGAAACAGTGGCGGGATGGAGACGGAGGGACTGCAGCCGCGAGGGAGACGACGGGGGGGGGGGGCGAGACCGCGCCCGCGATCGCAGTGGCGCGGGGAGTGGGAGGTGGACGGGGTCAGGGGCCCGGACTGCCGCTGGGATGAAGGCAAAGACCGGGGCAGGAGCCCGGACAGGGACGATACGAGGAGCCGGGGCAGTGACAGGGTCCGAAGCTCGGACACAGCCTGGGTCGCAACCAGGGCCGGGACCGGGACCGGGACCCAGACGGGAATCGTGGTGGGGAGCGGCCAGGACATTGAAGTCGCCGCAACCATCACTTTAAAGGGAGCATAACACCTTTTTTGTACCCCACTTGTTGCTAGATCAGATGCGCTCCATTTGATCTTTTGGTTCAGTTTAATCCGATCGGTAACACCAGTCTTCTCGAGATCCTCCTGAATACATTATAATTTCGATTTGAAGTAGCCGCTCAAGCACAGGAAATATCATTGGACTCCCTGTTCACCACAAAGGAAGTCATACATTTCATCTGTCTTGCTTTTTCCAATGTGTGCTCTATAATGCTTGCAACAAACTAATTCGTCATAATGATTGTGTACTAAATGCTAAGAAAGCTCGAAAAAAAACTTTGCACAGAAAAAACGTGCGAACATGGAGTTATCTTCCCTGGAATTCCGCCTGTGTAAAAAGCTATATCATGGCTTTGATCTCTCCCCTGTGCCATTTACCACACTGGCTCTTTTCGAAGTGCACTTTGGCTTTGGGAAACGAGGGCATCACATGGTCTATAGTGAAGCACTGGTTCAAACTACAACCAATGCGCTTCTCAGTAACTGGCCCTTGCCGCACACCGTGCCAATCACGAACGTCTTACCAGAGCTTTTTTAAAAATGTGTCCCGAAGTTGAGACACTCCCATTAACAAGGACCGCTTCGTGCTGACGGACGGGGATTGGGACAGAAATCGAATGCCGGACCAGGAGTGCGAGGGTCAACAGGGTCACGAAGTGGGTGGCAAACTCAGGGTTACTAGGTCCTACGAACAGACCATACGGCGATCTCAGACTGCCGTCAGGGCTCGACAAAGATCCAGGACAATGGGTGGGTAACGCCGTCTGGCGGCTGTGGCAGTGGTTATCACTGTTTTCAATGCCACTGTCACAGTTTTAGGGTGTGTGCCCTTCGCAAGATGCTGTTCTCGGTGGCTTAGACAAACGGGGTCAGGTCAGTGTTTTCTTCCCTTGCCCTTGACCGCAGTCCGCAGTTGTCGGAGCAGCTAACCAGACTAGAACGGAATGACTAGACCGGAATGGACTAGGCCGTATGAGCGAGCTGATGGCGTCCGTGTGACCATGCAGCCATGCAGGCCATATGATCGAGCGAGCTGGGTCCGCACCAATGATGATGACGATGATGATGATTGGCGGCCTTCAGGCGTCTCGGCTTCAAAGGCTATTTCACACGCCGCCCGCTGCGTCCGTACCAGTCAACCGCTACATATAGCTACGGCGACCCGAGTCGGGGTGAATAGAAACGGATAACGGACCAGCGCATCACCGCACAGCAAGGCAGCGTCGTGGAACGCGAGTCTGGCGGCTAATGGGACTGAGAGGGAGACCCGGAATGGCACGGCGAGACACCGAGCGAGAGACATGGAACGACAGGGCACCACATGGCGCGAGAGAGAACAGGGCCGACAGGGCACCGCATGGCGCGAGGGGGACCAGGACCGACAGGGCACCACATGGCGCGAGGGGGACCAGGACCGACAGGGCACCGCATGGCGCGAGGGGGACCAGGACCGACAGGGCACCACATGGCGCGAGAGAGAACAGGGCCGACAGGGCACCGCATGGCGCGAGGGGGACCAGGACCGACAGGGCACCGCATGGCGCGAGGGGGACCAGGACCGACAGGGCACCACATGGCGCGAGAGGAAACAGGGCCGACAGGGCACCGCATGGCGCGAGAGGGACCAGGACCGACAGGGCGGGGCATGGAAAGAGGGATACCTGTGCAGACATGTGACGAGACATCACAGGCCACCAGGATGGATGTGCGTTGGTTGAGCAACCCGTCAGACAGTTGACGCCGATCACCGAGGTGTGGATTCAGGGTTGTGGCTTTGGAGAGGACGCGGCCCGAGCCAAACCCTGCGCTCCGAGAGATAGTGCTGGATGACATCATCGAGGTAAGCATGCAATGACGGAGATACGGTGTCTGGTGGCGATATTACGTTCAGAACCGCTGGCAAAGATCAGTCACGCTTCGCGCTCCACGCCACGCATGTGCGGACATTGCTTGAATGCGTGCACAGGACCAATAATCGTCCGCTTGGAAATTTCTGAAACTTGATCCATTGTTGACGTCAGAGGCACTTTCTCGTGGAGAGGTTCTCAAAACAACGAGTGATTTCAAGGACAAAGGCATCGATCACCGCCACCGGAACCTTTTGCGGCCTGCGGGAGCCGCCGTCCCGCAAGCGCAGCGTAAACACGGCACGGAGGGCCGCCGCGTGGGAACAGCGCAGTGCAGACGGTGCCACGCTTCAAACCGATTGGCTGTCAGGGTGCCAGTTTACAAGGAGCGATACGCGTTCAGCCAGCTCGAAGCGACCGGCCGCCAGTAGTTACAGAGGACTTAAACATGGGTAAACCCGTGGCGCGAAAGTTTTAATCGCGGCGATTGAACAAAATACCACACCTTCGTCACTGAGGGCTTAAAGATGAAGAGGCGCTTTGCGGGCGTTACGCATGCCAGCAAATTTCGTCGCTCAAATTTGCGGCAACGTGCAAAGAGAATCGGCACTTCAACCGGGGTACGACAACAGCCAGTGTTTCAGCGAATGGACAGCAACGCGAAGCTTCCGTCGCTGGCCGGAGGTCAAGCGTCACCAAACACGGCCGTTGAGTCATCGACACCGAAGCCACCGTCCAGCCGCGCTCCATCCGCCGCATGCCGACAGTTGCCGCGGGCAAACACCCCCGAAAACACGGAAAAACGCCACGCGACCCCGGCACGCCGCGACCCGCCGCGTGGCGCGGCCCGTGACCCCGCTGACGGGCGGCGCGGGCCCGCGCCCGTGACCCTGCGGACCCGCGGGGCGGTGCGTCTGGCGGCGCGCGATCGATATCAGGGCGTGCCCTCAGCGGACACCGGGCAGAGCTGGGCTCCCGGCAGGCAGCGGACACCGGCCAGAGCTGGGCTCCCGACAGGCAGCGGACACCGGCCAGAGCTGGGCTCGCAGCAGGCATCGGACACCGGCCAGAGCCGGGCTCCCGGCAGGCAGGGGACACCGGGCAGAGCCGGGCTCCCGACAGGCAGCGGACACCGGCCAGAGCCGGGCTGCCGGCAGGCAGGGCGGCGCAGGGCGGGTCGGGGCCGCCGCAGACGGCGGGCCTGCCCGAGGCGTCCGTCTTAACACGCGGCGGCTGGCGCAGGGGTACGCACCGGTGGCTTACCGACACGGAACAACCTCGGAGGACGGCGCAGGATACGTGGCCCCGTAACAGCGTCGAACTCAGTTCCCAGAAGGAGGCGACTACGCCAACGAAACGTCCAACACGAGTACGCGCCTGGCTGACTCGGAACGCCGCCGGGTTGGAGCCGAGTCGGTCTGACCTACCTAGGCCCCCCTGGATCCTTCAGCGGTGTCACGCCCAGGGCGTCTCGTCCGTGGAGCAGTGCATCATAGCCGTCCCATCATCCGTGCGCGCTAGATAGTACTGACGCAGGGCTATCAAACGACCACAGAAAAAGTGCCTGCCATTTAAGTATCAGTCAGGCAGGTAATGACTATCGCATTCACAGCATTAAGCGTGGGCAGCAATGCGTGTGCCTTATGGAAAACCAGTGCCCAAACACTGGTGTCCTGTACAGGCTGTAGCTCATCGTCGTTGTTTGTTTAGCCGATCGCGCGATTTCGCCGGGGTCACGTGATCCTCGCTCTAGCCTCCATCCCACGGTAAGCTCCATGACCTGCGCCGAGTGATCCACTCACCATTGTCTCTGCTGTGGTGTTCTCTGCCGGCCTGCACGGACCCCGTTCCTGCGCGCGTGCGTTTGAACCGCCGGCAAAGCCCTCCGCCCTTATAGCCTCGGATGACGTCACCCGTAGTGGGCGGGGCCAGCGGCCGCCGGCCGGCGAGCCTGGCGCCGCCTATGGAAGAAAGTTCGAGACTGGTAACTCCGACAGCAATCGGTGGCGTTGGGCGCCAGTGTCCAATGACCTTCACAAACTGCGTGAAGGGCCTTGAACACCACACTTCCACAGCGAACCAGCAGCCAGAGCGGACTCGGCTATCTGGAGCCGTCGGGGACCATACTCCCGAAAATGACGATTTTTGCAAGTTTTTGAATGTTGCCGGCGACCCTTCGGAGACGTCAGTACTACATTATGAGTCTGAGGTACACATCAGATGACTAAGGTCAGAGAGATACAGATTTTCGCGTATGGCAACAATCGTAGAGCTCGCTATAATTCAACTTCTTTTGCACAGCGCTGCTTATTGGCCTGGCCCGGGCATCAGGCGTCCTTGTGATGTTGGGCCATGCGTGAGGTTGAGGCGGAAACATGGACGTAAACAGGCCTCATATATCCTTCAGTGCATATCTGTTTTGGTGCTATTTGACAGCTCAAAACACACAAAAAGTGGTGCAATCTGCTCAAATGGTGGCAACGCAGTGCCGTGGAGAGAGCAGCAGTTGGGTAGCCCTCGGTTTCGCGGGCTTCAGCTCTCAGCTTGCAAGTACCTCACCAAATATTCATATCAGATCGGTGCGACTACACCCACCCAGGCCACCTCAGCATCTTGTTCCGCCGGCTCCGGTACGTCACCCCTCTGCCCGCCGGGCCACAGTCTCGTACAGGGGCCGGCGCCCAGCGACCTACGGTGGGATCTGGCACGCCGCTGACGACCACGTCCTATAAGACAGCCACACTGCCCGGGCCGGGGTGCTCACTCCATGCACGTGACGCATGTCACAACAGGCGCAGTCAATCACCTCAGGACACACATGGGTGGGACCCAGCTGGAATCCAGGGTCACGGAAAACGCGCACCGATAATGCACCGGAAAAACAAAGGTGAGAGAGGACTCGCGCGTACCATTCGGCCAGGCAGGACTCCGACTGAGCGCCGGTCGACGCCACCGGAACGCTGACTAAGCCACAGCACGGAGCCGCCCGCCGGGACCATTCTCATCGCCCTCCGGTGGCTGCTGCACCGACGCACGAGACCGGACGGGTCACGAATAAAATGTACCTTGGATGAACTCGAGAAACAAGAGCGGAGGTAATGTTGTTAATAAGGGACTATCCCTAATTGCACGGGTAACTATGTGCATGGATTTTTTCTAAGAAGACGGGGGTGCTGGTGCCACCAGATTTGATTATTGGAAAATGCACGTAAGCTGCAGCCGGAAGTTAGTTTGTCTTATTGGCTAGACTCATGGCTGATCCGACTGAAACATTCGTGACAACAAATGCTCTGAACAACACACACACGCGCGCACATACACACACACAAACACAGACATGCGCACACACACACACACACACACATACACACACACACACACACACACACACATATATATATATATATATATATATATATTTATAAATCTATAGCAGCAAATGCAAATGCAGCCCCGGATGATCTGCTGCCTTCGAGTCAAGATAGGTGTTCAGTGCGGGCTTTTTGTAGCCCACAGAACGGCATGGCTGATAAGTCGCTGTCACACGGTCAACTCAATAGAAATCGATTCCTGTTAGTGGTCGTCATTGGCCATTCGTTAGCTATGACGTTCGCCGGCATTGGTGGTTCGTCGTCTGTCCCAGGAACCGCTACAATGTCAATGGCGTCTTAGAGATCTTGGGTAAGCCTTGCGTACGTGGCTGCCTATCACCTAGCTGTTGTATGAGATTTTGATTCATTCTGTGTATATTCCACATCATTTCATGAACAGCCAGTGAGCTTGAACTGTACATTCCTTGAATGCAAACGCGCTTTCCTTTCAGCCAACGAAGTTTCAAGCAGCTTTGTTGGCCCTTAGAAGAACAGGAAAACATTAATCATGATTATGTTTTCATACAAAACCTCTTGGCCTTGTCCGTCCTGAGAGCTCAGTTGGTTAGAGCGCCTGCCTTCCGATCCACTTACCTGTAGCGGGGTTATTACAGGCGGGTTCGCATCACTGCAGGTGCTCGCTATTTGGCTTTGATAGGTATGGCCTGCAGCCGGCGGCAGCGGCCGAGCTTCAGGCCAGGTAACGTCGGAGGGCAGGACGGACTGTGCCAGGCACTGCAGCATTCAACTTCGCCACCAAATTCTGCCGTTGGCCAACCATTGCACCATAAGATGGCGGGAGGCAGTGCTCACAAGACAACCGTTGCTTAGCATGAGCTCTGATCCCAGAAATCCATCCACTGGAAAGGCTCGTATAAATTTTAAAAGGAAAGTCGTGGGTCTCAAGTCCGTTATAGGCGCTCTTGAGAAATTTAGAGATTATGTAACTGCTCAGAAAACCAAACAGTTGCGAGAAAATCAAAGGATAACCGGGAATCCAGGTATTTTTTTGGTTTAGCCTCCGGCGCAGACAGCAAACAAAAAACATTACCGAGAGGTGTGATCGTTTTGCATGTCTCGGTGTCTGCACCTTTCTGGCCGGCCAGTCAGGTCGTTGCCCCGGGTGCTGTGTTCGGCCTCGGGGAATGGGCCGCCGGCCGCGCTAGCTTGCAACATGTGAGCAACACACAGTGGCGCTTTGAAGCAGTTGCTACGGTTGCCACTGGATCCAGCCCTATTTGCGCGTGTTTAAAAGCCACAAAAAAGGAAACTACACCCCCGGTGTCGAGCCATGACTTCTGCCGGACTTAGGATGCTCTGAAGGCATCCCGTCTGGCAGAAAACGGAAGGTTATTTAATAGCTCCCGAACAGCGCAGTAATAGCAAGGAGGAACGTCATGGCACAAATGGGGTGTACTGGATGCTGTTTGTATTTCGGGATCATTGCACCTCATTCCAAACATAAACACAAAATCGCCAGAGACGACAATAAAAACAGCAAAGTATATCTGCCACGAAAATATGGCATCCCCTACTTCTGCGACGAAGTTCCGCTCCCGTCCGTAGTGAGCGAGTCTGCCTAGCTCAACGGCTTAAACTCTGGCTTCATTTCTCAACCATCCAAAAATCATATATGGACGAAAGCTTCAGATGCCAATGTGGCATTTACCGTGACGGTTGTTTGTCGTGTTAGCATCGCGAGTTATTGTGTAAAATTCAACAGGGTCAGATGTATGCATCTTGAATGTGCGGGTGGAGATTTGCATCTATTGAAGGGGCGGGGCTTCTCGTACATCCAACAGCACTCGTCTCAGTCACGTCATCACGCTTAACCTCGATCTAAAAACTCCGACTAAAAGCAAGGAGAGCAGTGGCTATTTATAACACAAGCTATCTGTAAATATGCAGTTGTCTTGCAACCTATGCATTGTGAACCTCCGTCCCTGTCTGCATGGCTTCACACATGCAAGTTGACGTGACTTGATGCGACAAATTGATGTGCACACACACACACACACACACACACACACACACACACACACACACACACACACACACACACACACACACACACACACCACACACACACACACACACACACACACACACACACACACACACACACACAAACACACACACACACACACAAACACACACACACACACACACACACACACACACACACACACACACACACACATACACACACACACACATACACACACACACACACACACACACACACACACACACACACACACACACACACACACAAACACACAAACACACAAACATATACACTGGCGAAGGAAAATGTGGCTACAGCCTTCCTGAACGCTGCAGTTCAAATGACGTCATTCTCAGAGGCGATGGCTCAGTGACGAAACATGAAGTATTGTGACAAACACGAACGCAGTCGGAATCCTTCGCATGCGCGCGGAACGGTAGGTTTGAGATCCATGAGTCGGAGGGTAGGATAATAGACGAAAATAATAAAAACTATCTATTCACATTAGCACTTCATGCTATTCACATTTAGACGGTCCCGTTGTGCAACCATTGCTTACTTGCCGTTGTGTTATATGTGCTGATGAGTTATCTTTTAATGAATTGCTCCGTTGCTGTCAAAGTTGTGTGAGCGACTGCATGTTTAATGACGTGAGAATGTGGTCGCATTGTTGCTATCTTTTGATGTTGCATTCTAGCTACTATTGTGATTGTACCGAATCAAACAATAAGCTGTTTGTTAGAATGATTCGTGAATACACTGGACTGAACTGAGCTGAATGCGCTCCTTTGTCCCTGTCAGTATTGCTCTTTATGTTCCTCCCGCGAGCAAAGCAGAAACACTCATACAACGACCATGTCTGCACGGGCCAAAACCGAGTCACGTGATACGCAACACGAGTTGGCGCCTCCACGCGTCGACTGACGATATTGGTTCATGGTTTTGCCGGAAGATGTCGTTTGCTGTGTTCAGTGGCCGTTTCAAGGACCGAAGAACGCTAGTGTACCTTCAGCCGTCAGCCGTCAGGTTGGATGCACCTGATCGACAATCCTGCCCTTAACCCGTCTTACACTCAATGGCGCTTCGTGAATACTCCATTTAGCCGCCTCGGAAATACAAACTCAGGAGTGCCTAACCGCTCGGTTTTGCGGTGCGTTCGAACGGCTCGAGGATGACAGATTCAGATCTCAGGCAGAATCCGGCAGCAAAGTCTTCCCGATGACATGGTGATCGACTGCACACCCATGACGTCCACGTATACCACGTCATAACAAGCCATGACGAGCTGGAAGACCCACGATACGGCTCCACTTTGCCCAGACTGTCACTCGTCTGTCACACATACTGTGGGGCTGTCATCCGGTGCAAGAGGCGAAGCGGATGACTGGGCGCTCGATTTGCAGCGTAAAACCTGGGCTTAAATATCGTATAGCACCTGTCAGTTAGTCCTGTCGCCGCAACCATCAAGGCAGTGTGCGACGCCAGCGATCCTGCTGGATACATACCTTTATAACTAATGAAGCGGCGCTTTTTGATGCCGCTATCTTTCCCCTCGGAGGCTTGCGGAATGCTTGTCCTAGTTTAACATGCACGACAGTTGATCGGACGCCCTTGATTTATTTTGAAATCAGACACCACCGTCCTCCCCAAGCGACATAAGTCATCACGCGGGTATCATGTCAGCGTGGGTGCGATTTAGGCCCGTCGGAAGTAATCGTGTCAACACACTTGCTGTGCTCGTCAGCGGACCATTAACTTCCCCGACGAGCAGCCGTCCGAGCGGCTGTGGCCCGGGTCGCCCGCCGCCGTCCCCTGTAAATGCATGCATGAGGGGTGTCGGCGGGTCGGACGTCACCCAGAGCGCGCGAGCACGACCAATGCGGGGCGCAGACCCTGGTAACGCGGCCAAACACGAGCGGGCGGGTGCGCCGCGCGGGGAGGGGACCGGCACAGTCGGCATCCGCCGGGGGCAAGCACTGCGGGCTCAGCGCGGCGCCAGCGCGCCTGGGCCTGCAACCGGCATCGATTACGTACGGAGGCGATGCCGTCCGGTAGCCGGGACGACCGTAACAACAGGCGGCGGCGGCGGGCGCCGCGCCGCCCCTCCTGGACGCCGCCGCACATCACCGTGACGGACACGGACGCCGAGGAGGACTGGGCCGAGCCGGCCGGCCGCGGCGCGCGCGAGGACGAGCGGGACACGTACCGGCATTGGGAGGAGGAGGGCGATGGTGTGACGCGCATCGACGAGGAGCCGGGCGAGTTTGAGGAGGCGTGGGAGCACGCGCCGCCGCGGGAGGAAGCGCGGGAGGAACCGCCGGGCGAGGAGTGGGAGGACGTACACGAGAACGGCCGAACACCGCCGGAGGACGCTTCTGAGTGGAGGCCAGGGGAGGAAGAGGACGAAGACGAGATGCTGCTGCAGTCGGCCGTGCCGTACGCGGCGCACGGCAACAGCGACAACGAATGGGGCTTCGGCCACTCCCGCTCGGCCTCACGCATGGAGAGCGCCGACGAGGAGATTCCCGAGGAGCTGGACCAGCCGCGCCGCAAGCGTTACAGCAACGTGGCGCCGCGCGTGGACAGCCGGCGCAACAGCGTCAGCATCAGCCACACCAACAGCATGCAGGACCTGAGCCAGCGCGCCAGCCTCAGCCGTCGGAACAGCATCGCCGTGGAACGGCGCACGAGCCTGAACCTCAGCCCGCGGCCGAGCACGCCCGACGCCAGCACGCGCTCCAAGTCGCGCACGCCGTCGCGCTCTCGGGCGCAGTCCCGGCTGGCGCTGCGCAAGGACGACGCCGGCTATGAGACCGACTGGGAGAACGTCGGCAGCCGCTTCGCCGAGGCCGGCGAGAAGTGGCGCGCGCGCCGCGTCACCTTCTTCAAGAACGGCGATGCCTGGTTCCAGGGCCTGCAGATGCGGTTCGTACCGGGACGCGACTGCGCCTCGCTCGAGGTGCTCTGCAGCAAGATTTCCGAGCGACTTGGTGAGTTCAGTGACGCTGTATACCTCTACCAGGCCTATAACCATTGCTGTAACTATAACGTCACTATAACTGCCTACTCTGTGAGCATGCGTTTGTGTGTTGGCGAGGGGTTCTGTTGTTGGTGCCAATGTCTAGATATTTACAGTTAGCTGGGTTTATCCCCTCGTTCTTGTGTGCTGCTTTTCACCTTTTGACTGCTCCATCAATCCTGTCCCGTTTACCTAGGTGTGTGTTGATTTGTTCGCCTGTGTTGTTTAGTCATCTGGGGACGGTGTGCGTGGATTGTTTCATGTGGTTAAGAATGAGCTTAATCCAAGCTATCGTTGTTAGCATCGGGTGGTAATCAATCGTGAGTTTGCAGGTCGAGCTTGTCTTAAAATCAACTGGCCAAACTTGCAGTTTTCAGGACCCCGACCTTATCCGTTCAGCAACCACGCTTTGGGTGAAATGTGACGGAATTTTGGTTGCATCGCCGGACCGTTATCAGCAACAACTGCAAGAATTTTTGTAACTTTGCACTCTAATGTTGTCAGAATATTTCCAGGCAAGCCGTCTGATACGGCGTTATTGCGATGTTCCAATATTACAATGCCGCCAGGATATGATCTTTTCCACTCGATGGAAGGGCTTGTCTCACTTTTTTTATTGGGCTTTCAGTTGAGTTGGCAGGTGGTTATGCATGGAATATTACCCATAACCATAGCATATGCGCATAATACTTTAATTCAATGTTCAGCTATTGGAATTGAATGCATCAATCTCTATGGTTCATTTCAAAGCATGGTCCCCGAAGGAAACGAAATCTTCGATGTGTTGAGGAATGACGACACCGGCGGCCAATGACTGGCCGCCAACCGCTGCTGCCGGTCGCTGGTTGGTTGCGGATAACGCAGCGCGCAGTATGACGCAACGGGACCGAAAGTTTTCTGTCGTAACATGCGGTGTTACCGCGCTTCCAGCAGCTTTTGACAAAGCAAATAGCTTTCTGATATCCATGATAGGTGAAACGTGTCCCTGAACCTTAAATGCAAACATTAGAACATCGTAAACAGCATAAGAAAATGGGCTGCACTTGGTTTTGATCATGGTCACCCAGGCTCGCAACGAAACGAAACAAAAGCACTCAACGGCGAGAAAAACTGACAGTTGTACCGACAGTTGTACCGACAGTGTAGTCTATAGCGACACCAATGCTGGTCTCGCTACGGAACGACACTATTTGCGTTATGATATCGCTACGGGACGACCCCATTCGCGCAATGGTGTCGTTACGGGACGACACCATTGGTGCAATGGTGTCGGTACGGGAGAGCACCACTAGTGCAATGGTGTCGGCACGGAAGAACACCATTGGTGTCATTGTGTTGGTACTGGACGCCAGTGATGGTGTCGCTACGGGATGACATCATTGGTGCAATGGTGTCGGTACGGGAGAGCACCACTAGTGCAATGGTGTCGGTACGGGAGAACACCATTGGCGCCATTGTGTTGGTACTGGACGCCAGTGATGGTATCGCTACGGGATGACATCATTGGTGCAATGGTGTCGCTGCAGGACGCCAGCGATGGTGTCGCTACGGGCTAGTCCTCAGCGTGGCCAATGCCACCTTTTGCAGCCTCGTCCCGAATGTCACACGTTGGGGGCCAAGCGGGGAGAGATTGATCTGTGGCAATTATACTGGGTTGTAGCTCAAGTGATTTTGACCAATATCCAGCTAAGACATTTGCGTTTTTATCAATGCTCTGGTGCCAATCACCAACCAGTGGGTTGGCCAGAGCTATAATACTTTCAAGCAAAGCGATGTGGACATCTTGGTGCGAAGACTATAGTTAAGCAAGCCTATTCTGACTTCTAAACTCACCACAGCATGTGTTCCAATGCACTTTTAGGGAATATTTGCTTACACAGATAGACAGTAGTATTAGTTTTATTCCTCGGAAAAACCAGAAGAATGGAGATATAGGTTTTGGTTTTTAATATAAGAGATTTGAGATTTGATGTTTGAGACATTTTATAGCTCCTGGTTTTTCCGAGGAGTAAGGATAATACTACTGTCTAATCTGTGGGACTAATGCTGCTCGTTAACGCGCCGAACAACTTACGGAATATTTCCTTACATTTTAAAAAGGTGACTCGCCTCATTTGCTCAGGCGTTGATATTATTTACGTGCTTGAAACACACGTTTGTTGTCACTTCACTCCGCCAACGCAGGAAAAAGCGTTTTGCTGATTTCAATCTAACTGTGATATACTGTAGAAGCTGGTCAAAATGTGAATGCTTAACATGTTTATGCTGAAAAAGGTACTCCATATTCCGATGCATCAGGTATAAGACCAGAACAATCCAGACCACTATCAAGCGTAAGACAAGTACGACGGAACCACCATCAGGCGTAAGGCTAGGACGACGAAGCCACCATCAGGCGTAAGACCAGGGCGAAGGAACCACCATCAGGCGTAAGACTAGGACGACGAAGCCACCATCAGGCGTAAGACTAGGACGACGGAACCACCATCAGGCCTAAGACTAGGACGACGGAACCACCATCAGGCGTAAGACTAGGGCGACGGAACCACCATCAGGCGTAAGGCTAGGACGACGGAACCACCATCAGGCGTAAGGCTAGGACGACGGAACCACCATCGGGCGTAAGGATAGGACGACGGAACCACCATCAGGCGTAAGACTAGGACGACGGAACCACCATCAGGCTTAAGGCTAGGACGACGGAACCACCATCAGGCGTAAGACTAGGACGACGGAGCAACCATCAGGCGTAAGACTAGGACGACGGAGCCACCATCAGGCCTAAGACTAGGACGACGGAACCACCATCAGGCGTAAGACTAGGGCGACGGAGCAACCATCAGGCCTAAGACTAGGACGACGGAACCACCATCAGGCGTAAGACTAGGGCGACGGAACCACCATCAGGCGTAAGGCTAGGACGACGGAACCACCATCAGGCGTAAGACTAGGACGACGGAACCACCATCAGGCGTAAGACTAGGGCGACGGAACCACCATCAGGCGTAAGACTAGGACGACGGAACCACCATCGGGCGTAAGACTAGAACGACGAAACGGCCATCAGGCGTAAGACTAGTACGCATCGGCTGTAACATATCACCATGTCGTTTCCAAATGGGTTGCACAACCTGCGAGCTAACAAAGCTCGGTGGCTTGCAATGGCACCTAATCTCAAAATCTTCTTATCACCTCTTCCACAAACACACCACCAAAGGCTCACCTTCATGGGTCACGAGCGAAGAGCAGGGTATAAAATTCATGGATGCTGTACGTTGGTACTGCGGTACCTACAGCCGGTATCACATCAGAAGCGGTAGTACGCTGAGCCTGTGACTTGGCGCGCCACCGCCGGAACTCCGTCGCAATCGGAACATGATAGCCTGTGTTGAATGGGTCGGTAGCTGGTAAATACCCGCGCCAGTATCACCTAAGCTCTGCTGACTCTGACTTGGCAACGACGCTTCCACGCAGGTGTCAGTACGGTGACGGTACCAGCTTTTTATATGCAAGAATTCGTGCATTATATGCATTATAGCGACGCCTCACTCGAGAAGGTGTTAACAATACAACTTACAAAATTGGATAAGGTTCGGGCGTTTAAGATTCTGGGGTTGAAAATGATTGTTTGAAACAGCGCAATAAATTAACATGCAAGCATTTCAGTCGCAGATATACATGTTTGGGAACATCCAAGAATTTATGCCCCTCATGTAAACTTCGAGGTAAAAAACTAGGTCAAAGGAGGGAGAACTCGATATCACCGGAAAATTACCGGTGGATTGGCAAACTGCAAGCATCATAACCCTCACAAGCGCAAGAGCTAACGTCATTCAAAACGTCCTGACCTCTCAAGGTCACCCTTCGAGGTCAAGCGCGGGCTCAGAGGACGGCAAACATAATATTATCCCCAAAATACCGGCCGATTTAAGCTTGCAAACATCAAAATATTCAGCACAGAAAAACTAGCGTCCGTCAAAATGTCCTGGCCTCTCAATGTCATCTTTCAAGGCCACACCCGGGTTCAAAGGACGAGGGAGTCAACATCCAACAAAAATTACCGGCCGATTTAAAATTTCTAAACATCAGAATATTCACCACAGTAAAACTAGCGTGTGTCAAAAAGTTCTGACCTATCAAGGTTATTTTTTCAAAGTCAAACTTTGGCTCAAAGGGCGGGAACTTGATGTCAACCAAAAATTACTGCCTTATTTTAAACTTTAAAACAGCAAAATATTCAAAAGTTTAAGGGCAATCGTCCGTCAAAACGTGCTGACCTCAAAGCCAATGGTGTAATCCCTCAAGGTCATCTTTTAAGGCCAAACCCAGGCTCAGAAGACGGATAATTCCATGTCACCCACAAATTACCGACCGGTTTTAAGCTTTGCGGAACCAGAATATTCGCTACAGAAAGGATTAGCGGCCATCAAAAAGTTTTGAACACTCAGGGTCATATTTCAAGGTCATACGCGGGCTCAAAGAATGGGTAACTCAGTATCTTCCAAATCTATCTACCGGCAGATTTTAAGCTTGCAAGGATCAGAATATTCAACACAGAAAGAGTGCATCCGTCAAACTAGCCCCCGTTTGCTGAGCCCACGTTTGGCCTTGAAGGGTGGCCTCGAGAGGTCAGGGCTTTTTGGCGAACGTTAGTTTTTTTCCGTGGTGAACATTCTGATGTTTGCAATTTATAAATGGGCCAGGAATTTTTGGGTGGTTCGGAGTTCCCCGTCCCTTGAGCCTGCGTTTGACCTTAAAGGGTGACGTTGAATTGTCAGGATTTTTTTGACGGACGCTGGATCTTTCTGTGGTGAATATTCTGCCGTTTGCAAGCTCAAAATCGCCCCGTAATTTTGGGGTGATGTTAAATTCCCCGTCCCTTGAGCCCGTGTTTGGCCTTGAAATGTGACCTTGAAAGGTCAGGCTTTTGAAGGATAGCTCGTTCTGTGGTGGATGTGCTGGTGTTCGCAA